GGCACTTGCACCAGTGGCATCTGCCCATCGAGACAAAGATGAAACTGGAACTGGTGGTTGCGCGACAGCGCAGGCCACCAAAATCACTTGTGCTCGGAGAAAGCTAGTCATACTGCACAGATCTGCACAGGTATTGGGACAGGGGGAGAACACTGCTTGGGCCTTTGCTTGCAATGAGTGAGAAGTGTATGCAGTTCAGTGTGAGCCCATCATGTCTTGTGCACTGAATTATCACTTTATATATGCAATTCTGTTTGCTTCATATCGGTACGAGCCAATGCATCTGTACATTACAAACTACTACTTTCATCTACTTTCTGATCTGCATCACCCTCGCTGTTGCTTCCTTGGCCATTTGGCACCTCAACGTAGGCGAAGAAAAGCAGGGTCACTGCAAGCAAACCCCACTGCCATGGCTCCTTAGTTCAAGAAAGCGGGGAAATGCTGCCAATTTCACCTGCCTTGCAACGGTCAGGGAAAAAACAGCTAGCAAAATGTGTTTCATATGTTTTTCAATCGTGCACATATTGTATCGTAAGAATGCTGCAATGCGCAACATCCTGCAAGAAACTGGAATCAGATTCTGATTCTGCTTCGTGCTGCCTTGGGGAAATGGTTAGTATACCTGTGCTGCATTGTCAATCTGCTCCTTGTTATACAAACTGACGGAGGATCATCGATGCAAACCTCTGTGCAAGTGGGAACCGGCTCAAGGGAAGAGAACAAATTCGGGCAGACAACATGCTCTCACGCGATTCGAACATGCAACTCAATGCGATCGGCGATCGGAGGCAAGTTCTCAATCTCCCAATTCTTCTCATCTATGTGGGGCCAACACCTCCGAAACAATTGGTGCTTGACCAGCTGATACCTTCCAGTCCCCACAAAGTGCATGCCAAAACATCCCCCTCCACCTTTCGATTGCCAAGTTGAGCCAACCAGCCGTGATGGCACCCAGGCCGTCCAGGACAATGGGAACCTGGGCACATACAAACATAGCCAACCTCAAAGCAATATCAAGACCATTTTGGTGTATTGTAGTATTCTTTGATAGCATTAGTTTGGGATGGTTTTCACAATTCCGTTCTGATCTTTGTTGAACCGACTAGACACCACGAATGGACAGCTCTCCGGGTTGGGGTTCCTGCGTTGGAAGGTGGGCAAGCAAAAGAACATCCATCCATCACTCAAACAAAACTGTTTAAGTATAAAAACTATTCCAACCGTGATTTCATTCCAATCAAAAAGTTGTAGCGTGACTTCCTCAGTTGGGGTATTACTCAACCCCTCAGCCAAAATCATATCGACTAACTACTTGAAAAAGCTGCCATGTGCTACCACTGCCGGCTCTACAAGGCTCAGCCATCGACCACTTTGGCCACGCCATAGGAAAGGTACGCGACGACCCCTACTACTCCCCAAGCCTCCAGCTCAAGAACAAGTCCCTTTGCATTAGAAATCAACCATGCCGTGCGCTACATCCGATCTGATCAACACTCTCTCCGTGAAACGCACCTGTTTCATGGTTTTGATTGAAAGTGCAAGAGTATCCAAGGGTCTCCGGAGTATGAACACGCAAACTGCATTTTAAAGTCGCTAACCTGGCTAAACTTCAAACATGATTGAACGCAAACTCTGCCTGCACCAGCTGTGACCTGTCACCGGGCACCTCCCACGAGACAACAGGCGTGACCCTCTTGGCATGGATCTAGCCACGAAATAAATGACAATCGAACAAGATTTGCATATGCAATCTATCAGGGAACACGGAACACGGTGTGAAACGATGTGACTGTCAAGTGTGGTTGTGAAAGGAACTTCACTTCATCTACAGCGGTCGTCCGGAGTTGCCTCACACTTTGCAACGCCCCTTTGCGGGGTCACGCCAAGGAACCATCGAACAACACGGCAAACGAACATGATAGAACATATGAAACAAGGTCAAACCATCACTGATGTTGAACCACTAAGCTAAACATTCAATGCAACCCCCAGAGCACTCACTCATCCAAACAAACATATGTTGAACAACTGCCACGTCCTAGCACGAATTGCCTCACCAATGCTTTCACCAGCGCTATCCTGCGCACCAGCTGCTCTTCCTTGGCCGCCATCACAAAAAAGTCTTCGCTGTTGTTGGCTTCCATTCAGAACCACCTCTACTGTTGATGTTGCAAAGGAACTTGCGACACCGTGGTTGGCATCAATTGTTGGATTCAAAGTACAAGAATGTACAAAGTCCCTATACACATTCCCCACAAAGCACTTCTACGTCAAACGTCTTCGAATCAATAAGTACATACCACCCCGTTTCGCAATATGTTACAAAACAACAGGAGCCGAGCAACCATGCTGAAACCCAGGCCGTCCAGCACCAGAGGAGCCTGAACTCACACGGCATTGTGTAGTGTTCCCCATCATTCATGGTTTCATATGTTTCTGCAATTTGTTGTACATTTGTTCGCATCCAACAATGCCAAAAAACTATCAATATGCTGTTGTAGAGACATCGGGGAAAACATTGCACCTCACGCGAGACACTAGTCCAATCCAGTCACGGCAAACAAAACAAGAAACCAGCAATCTTTGGCTGGAAAAAACAACTAGCAGTGACAAGGAGAGTTAAGTTAGACAACAATCGGCTACCACAAAAGCACCCAGAAAAATCTGCAAACTTTGCTCTCCCAAGAGTCCTAGTTTGCGCATAAAAAACACCGACCAAATTTGCGGTGCAATAGTGAAACTGCTGCTTAAATTGAAAGCGCTGGGCCCATCACCGCTTTGGCCACGCCATAGGAAAGGTACGCGATGACCTCTACTCCGCCCCAAGCCTCCAGCCAACAATAACAACACGATTATGTATTATGAAGCGGCTATTGCAACGGGAACATCATTTGTCTCTTTACGGTTTCAGAGACAACCGAACACAAATGCATGGGATGTGCGATCTGTTTTCGGTCCAACTTGCAGCGATTGAGCGAGGACCGTGGTCTGCCTTTGCCAGCCGCGACTTGTCCCCAAACAGCACCTCCCGTCGCGAGGGTTGAGGTCGGCTTGCACTACGAAACTAATCGAAAAATCAAAGCACATGTCACGAGAAACAAACCAACACGTTTCATAAAAGGTTTGCAAGTTGAAAAAGGAACGGCTTGTAAAAACATGAGGTTTCTCAGGAGGATGGTTGTAGTTGTTTTTGGCATTGCATGCCCAATGGGAAACCATGTCCGAACAATGCGGGGAGAACGGCATCTGAATTTGCATGATACAATACAAACAATCATAACAATCTGCATTCCTCGGTTGCACCACAACCGCATCAATACGTTGCAATGTTCGTGCCCATCAGCCCTACTTGACAACCTATGGGCCACAAACCCGGAAAACAACAGCTCAACAGACCCATGAATCCAGTTGTTCAAATTGCCACCCACACTTCTGGCCTTTGGACCTGAAACCCAAGGCCATCGACCTGGGCCAAATCAAGATCCGATCATTGTATCTTGGCAACCAAACGATTCACACAATCTGAAAATTCCACAGTTCAACATGTTAAAAATTGAGGTATTGAATTGGACATATAACCTCCGAGGTTCAAAATTGCACATTGCGCTGTTTCTCCACAATGGAACCACATTGTCAGCTACTTCATTCTCCACAACAAATATATTAACAAATACTTGTTTGCGACCACACACATGTCGGAAAATCCACATATCTTGCTAGCCGTTTGTTGTTTTCCGATCATTGCCAACACTTGCAGAAAACCCACAAAACATTGCAGATGTTCTATTTTTGATAGGGAACCTCCTGGAAATAAGGCGTTTGACGCCCAAACGATGCACAACGAAAATACAATTTTTTCAAATGTGTAAGTAGCCCGGGGGCTGTAATAGTGACCACGACAAACACCACCAGAAAAACAAAACGCACGAGAAAAAATGAACAAATCTGCACTCATATTGAGCATGCGGGGCTCACATAACTACCAAATGCCTGATGTTCCTAATTGATTGTGAGGTTTGGCGACACCAAGTAAAATTGTTGCAAACAGTACAGTAACATGAGGCTGCAGCCTTGGTGTTTTTTGCATCCCATCAGGTGTTTATAAGCTGTACTTGTTGCGCAGCCAGGGTTTTATCTCAGAAGGAAACAGAATCAATAGTTCTAATTGTAATTTTACCAGCATAAACCCCAAACAGTTTCAAAACGGTTCGTTTGGACCAATATTCGTCAAAAACGATTTCTTGGTACAGCCTACCTTCCCCTCAAGAGCAATCTGCGTCATCAATGATTTTTGTTGGCATCGATCGACGTCGCTATTTGTTCGGCCACACTCCTCTCCAGCTGTTGACCATATTATGGAAAATAGACAATGTCCAATGCGTCTCACAGGCACATTATCGGGCGCCCCATCATCAACTGTGTGAGACTCGAGACGGGTCCCTACGCGAACCCGCTTCTTTCGCGGACATCCGATTGGACGTCACTCAGCATTCTAAACACATGGCCACAGAGTTCAGGGGTGCGGCCAATCAGTATGGCCAGGGCTGGTCAGCGCGGCCAGAGGACAACAGCAGGATAAAAGAAGGACAAAAGGAGGACAACAGCAGGACAAGAGAAGACAAAAGGAGCATAAGACCGGCCACAGAGCCTGGCCACAGGGGCGTGGCCAGTCAGTGTGGTCAGGGCAGGTGGGCGTGGCCAGAGGACAACAGCAGGACAAGAGAAGGACAACAGCAGCGCAAGAGGAGGACAAGACCCGGCCACAGAGGCCAGGGGCGCGGCCAGCCAGTGTGGCCAGCTCTTTTCTAAGACTCTAAGATAGAGCCCCACCAGTATATGTTTGCAGTTTTTGTGGTTTTTGCGGCACAACTGTAACTGTGGCGCAGCTGTGGCAAAACGGCCGCAACGCAAACATGCCAAATTGGCCCCAGGACACGAAACAAAGCACGAGATACCGACGAAAAAAAAGAGATAAGTCCAGCACGCCAAAGCGGAAAGCAAAACAAGAAAAACGCGACAAACCCACACAAACAAGCACGAGAAAAATAATGAGAAAACCGGAAAAACAAGAACAACATGAGAAAAAACCACAAAAACACGAGAATGCGGCCCAAAAACAAGAATTAGCACGGAGGCTCCGAACCTCTCGCTACAGGTTTTCAATTTACTATAATGTTCATTCTACTTTGTCGCAAGATCGATATGCTGTTGGTTGCCCAACGGAGGTTCCCACAGAGCACAGCAGCAAAAAACAAAATGATGGATCACGCCGTTTGCTCGCTTCCAGTCTCCCAAACATGACTGGTTACGGAGCGCAGGGCTGTCCGACGCTTTACTTTCTATGAATGCAGCGCTGTGTTGCTGGTAGACCTCCTTCGCTCAAAGGATTCGTATAGTGATTTTCCAGGGGCGATTGCATAAACTCCGCCGGCAAAGCCAGGCCCACAGTGGACAGTCAGGTTGCCTGTGAACATCTTGCAGAAATCTCAAGTCTACACCTGAAATTTCTCGCCACCCAAAAAGTTGCTTCAATCCAGTACCTTCATCCTGCAGTGTAGTTTCATTGAAAACTCGTTGCCACAAAAAACATATTCTCCAAGGCTTATGCCTGAGAAGCCTAAAGTGAATCTAATCAGTGGACCAAAAAAATATTAGCGCAAGGTTTGCTGGCGAGAAGCCCTTCGCATGCCTAGGGCCCCGACCCAGTTATCCTACCGGTGTACCTGGGCGGGTGGGGCCAGCTCGACGATAAGGTCATTGATTTGCGTTGTCTCGCTGACAGTTCTTGTATTCCACACAGTTTGCTTCAGCCGCCCTTAAAATCGAATCGCACGGAAGAGGGGTTGGGAAACGCTTCTAAATGAAGATCGATACCCGGAGAACAGAAGACACAACCAACTGATTTGGCGGCCCTCACGCTTTGGCCCTAAGAATCTCAAAGCGCTAGACGCTAAGGCCACAGCACATCAAGCATCGAGTGTCTGCTGTTGGCATGGCCGGCCTCAGCGTCCGCTCACTCCTGCCCCCTTCCAAGTCCAAGGCCCCAACTCTGTCCAAAAGAGACCCCAGAACAAATCAATCGGGCAACCTGCGCTGCAGAAACCGGCGCCAGGACGAACGAACCCAGAGGAACCTGCGGGCATGCAGCAAAAATGAATGCAGCCAAGCAATCATTCAACAATGCACACCTGACTTGCCCACCGAGCCTTTCGCAACAAAGGCAGCCTCGCAGGCTCAAACGCTTGTAAGGCCGAGAGTGAATCAAGCTTCAAGTCTGGCATCTACTTTCGACTTTCTCTGGCTCACGCAGTCTGCTTCAGTCGCGCTGGCTGCTCTACTTGGGCCGCTGCGTGGCCGTGACCACAGCCAAAACCGCAGGCCAAAGCCTCGACCTGCAGTGCAAGGAGCCACTGTTTCCATGTTGCACACCCTCTCCCACCAGCTCCCCACAGAGCTACCACTTCGTCACCTCGCTTAATATGTTCCATCAAGGGTGGCCCGCCCAACCTAGTAAGCGTGAAGTGCTGCTCCACATGGCAAAGTGTGGCTGCCACAGTCTACTCGTGATGGGACCGTCACTGACAAGCTCACGAAGCTCACAGTACATAGGGCTCGCTCACACTCGCAGCACAGCCTGATGGGGCAACCCCTGATTGCCCAGCCACTCTCTGCGCAGCACTTTTTGGCCGTTCTCACTCGCATGTCCTCCGCCACCGGCGTTTCCCAGGTCGCTCTGAGCCAACGTCCTTGCTCACCTTTTCTTCACACTCCAACTCAGTCTTCAGTGTCTCTCAAACTCAGGCAGGGTTTAGGTGTTTAGGCTGTTAGGGTTTAGGTTTATGTGTTTCGGCTGCTAGGGTTTAGGTTTATGTGGTCTTTGCTGCCAGGATTGAACATGTGTTGCGAGTGATGGTGTTTTGTTGTGTTGCTGTAGAACTGTTTGTTTCTGTGTAACTGGCAGACAGTAACTGTCCGAGGTCCGTCTGGAGCTCGCTGGCCTGGCGAGCGAGGAGTGCGAGTGGTCTCACAAACGCTGGAACACTGCATGGAGCCCAGATGGAGAAACCTGATTGAGCTTTCAGGCGCCCAATACATAAATACAGTCACCAAAACGGAATCTCCAGACTCCAAACAATATAAAAGTGAAGAGGTGTCCACAGAACACTCTCTTTTATCGGCTCTCATGGGCATGTAGCTGAAACAGCAAAGGTTCCTTCACCTTTCAGTGGCACTGTACACACACACACATATATATATATACCACAAAGCCGAATCACAAATAGTTGGCTTGACTCGTTCTTTAAATCTACTGCTTGAACTTTTGCTACAGAGTCAGACTTGAACAAGTCAGGACCCACTGCAATATGAGGTGTACAAGCCAAATCTCAACGATCATTGGCTCCACACGACCCGTGCAATAGGATTGCCAAGTAGGAAAAGTCTACAGTCCCACCAAGAATATAATCACATGCGCGCAACTCCTAGACTCAACAAACTCAAAAACACCATGGTCATATGACCTGCAGCTCCAATGATTTCCAGGGGGGCAACGTTCGGTTGTGAGTCTGTCTTCGGTAATTGCTAGTCGCTGCACGGGCAGTGCAAACTAAAGAAAACAGAAGGCTCAGAAACCCAATGGCTGAGGGCTGAGAACTGAATAGCCCCCATCTTTGTTCACTCAATTTACTTCTCCAGCGTTGAAACAACATGTGGAAAAACCCTTCCTGCCTCAACCGGAGTGTTCATGCCAACGTCTGGCATCGACGCAAGACAACAAGTCCAGTCCTGAGCATCAGAATTCAATGACCTGCTCTCCTTCAACTGAGCCGCGCCCAGTTAAATGATTAGCCACTGCCAGTATGTAGCAAAGTTGGGAAAGAGCACCCTTCCACTCTGAAGTCGGCCATTAGCATCCGCACTGAACATACATCGGGGCTGGATATCCTCTTCTGCTTAGAAATCCCAGGTGCATTCAGCCGAGTTCCGGTGACGATTGCCAAGACGTGGGAAAACCATCACCGATCGACCCATGAGAAGATATGAATCATGTTCACTGATTAACATAACTCCCCTACCTAGCAGAATGGTCTTACATCTTCTTACGATGTTTTAAAATCAACAGTTAACGTTGGAAATCTTCTCCAACTCTTTCAGCTAGCAAACATGAACTGCCGCCGGTGTCTTTCCGCTTTCCCACAAAAAATGGCGACCCTCTCTGCGGGATTCAGCCAAGCTGCACATCGCGAGTGAGTCGGCCCGGCCGGTAGCTGGACTGACGAGATCCTAGGAGGTCATGACAGTGGAGTTAAGTAGGTCAAATAGGTTGCCGAATCGTTGCATCGTGTACGGAAGAGTTACGAAGAGGTGTACAGTCGTTTGGGTTGAGTTCATGGATTCGCCATAAGATACGTACGTCATAAAGGTATCCCAGTTTCCTGTAGCCAGCAGAAATTGAGACTCGCAAAAATGGTAAATGCCTCCAACAGTGAGCCTCTGAGGATTATGTTTGTATGGGTTGCAAGGATCCTGTTGCCAACCTGCTTTTTGGGGAAACTCACTTGAGCCTCACAGCCAGCAACTAGCAAACTTTGCGATGCCAAAGACTGGTGAAAAAGCCACCCCAAGGGGCCCCAAGTGGTCATGTTAGTTTGAAGCCATCTGATAAATTTACTAGGGCTGGAGGCGGGGTTCAAAACAGGTTTGCGTGGCATCATTCTGATCCACATTCACAAACATTCACACTGCAACAATGATTCGGGATATTGACAGTCAGGTCACAAGATGACAAATGGTTGGCAAAGGCTCTCGCCCTGCATGAAAAAGGACTGACGCAAAGGCACTGGGCCACAGAGTCCGGCGAAGGAAAACCTTGGTGAAGCACGCTGGCAACCAAAGACATGTTCCCAGTGCCCTAAAATTGCATGAAATTGCCCAGGCGCAAGGACTGATAAGTATGGACAGTGACAGAAGTACAGTATGAGCTTAACCTGAACCTATGAATTCAAAGATGGCTTGTTCATCAAGTCGCGAATGAAAGCCTAAATTACAACGAAAGGGCTGGCAACAAATTGCGGGCAAAGACTTGACACCGAAAGAAAACACACAAAGAGTCACAAAGAGAAAAGCTTTAAAGCAAGGTTAAAATAGTAATAAAAGCACGCCTCTTGAATTCCATTCAATGTTTCTAAAGGGCAACTGTCTGAAAATACTCACGAAGCCAGGAAGTTGCAAATGAAAGCCTAGTGATACAATATGGTAGTGGCTTAAAAGATCCCTTCAAACCCCTTCCCTGTGTAGCATTGGATTCTTTTGCTTTGTAGCTCCTTCGAAATTCCTAGGGTCCTAGATGTGTTCCAGCTGTGAGCCTAGGCAAACCATTCCCAGAAATCACTCCTGGACACTCCGGGACAGTGACCACTCAAAAACACACATCCCCACGTTGAGACATGTGAGGCACAACAAACATCGGCCTGGGAACCGCTGGGAGCCGCGAAGCTGCAGGAAAGCCGCTTGGACTGCTGAAAAGAAAGATCGTGGACGTCAAGCGCTTATCTCCTGAGAGTTTGCGCGCGCGTTTGATGTTCGCAATGCAACTCGACTGGACTGAAGAATCCTTTCCGGGCGAGGTCCAAAAGCTTCCAAGCTTCCAAGCAAGATGGACTAAGGACCAGGACGGACTAAGGACTACCGATGATGATCCATCGTGGTAGCTGTCAGACGCTCAGGAAGAACGAGAAGGCATTGCTCATTGCTGAACCGAGAATTATTTTCCAACAAGTCATACATAGCCATACCATACCCATACACCGCCAGCATGCCTCACCTACCTTGCGGACCTTGCAACAATCAGAACTCCAATGGTCAGACTGAACAAGACCGCCCTGCACCAGCCTCCTAAAAGGACTGTCGATCTCTGTCAATCTCATGTCCACTGCAAAGTGCTGCCCCTTCAGAAGAAACTGTCGAGGCTCGAAAGACTTGTCGAAACGCACAGCTCTGTCCAAATAAAATAGCTTCTCCGAAGTTGACCGGCAAAAAGATGATCCATGCCCACTGGCCTCCAGCAATGTCTGCTCGACCGGGCTTCTTTCACAGGAACAAACTCGTTAGAAAGAAGGTGGATCCTAGCTGCATGCCTTTCAGATTCATTAGGCCAAGACTCGGTGCCACGCACAATGCCCAAATCTCGTCAAACGTTGTGCTGTATCAGCACTGAATCAACTGACAAAGGATCACCTTGGTGTGAAGGAAATTTGTACAGCCACAGAGCAATTGGGACCCTACAATTTGGGAACTGTGTGAGTATGGCGTTGTTCCATGCAAAATGCAGGGTTCTTGGGGATGGACTGGAGAACCCTGTAACCGTGCAAACCATGGCTTGGCCTTCCAGAAGCCGTGTCTGTCCAGTAGAATCATTGTATCTGAGAAGCCCAAGGCATGCAAGAGGCTACGTAAGTACACTTCTCACAGGAACAAAATGGCAGAATCGCCAAACTTGGCTATGCTGAAGAAATCTTGACCGAAATGTCGTGAGGACACAGATTTGAGGGCGGTGGAGAATCGACCCATGAGAAGATATGAATCATGTTCACTGTTGCTTAACAAAACTCCCCTACCTGGCAGAATGGTTTACGGAAGAGTTACGAAGAGGTGCGCAGTCGCTTGGGTTGAGTTCATGGATTCGCCATAAGATACTTACATCATATAGGTATCCCAGTTTCTTGTTGGCAGCTGAAATTGAGACTCGCAAAAACGGTAAATGCCTCCAACAGTGAGCCTCTGAAGATTATTTTTGTATGGGTTGCAAGGATCCTGTTGCTAACCTGCTTTTTGGGGAAACTCACTTGAGCCTCACAGCCAGCAACTAGCAAACTTTATGGTGCCAAAGACTGGTGAAAAAGCCACCCCAAGGGGCCCCAAGTGGTCATGTTAGTTTGAAGCCATCTGATAAATTTACTAGGGCTGGAGGCGGGGTTCAAAACAGGTTTGCTTGGCATCATTCTGATCCACATTCACAAACATTCACACTGCAACAATGATTCGGGATATTGACAGTCAGGTCACAAGATGACAAATGGTTGGCAACGGCTTTCGCCCGGCATGGAAAAAAGGACTGACGCAAAGGCACTCTGGCCACAGAGTCCGGCGAAGGAAAACCTTGGTGAAGCACGCTGGCAACCAAAGACATGTTCCCAGTGCCCTAAAATTGCATGAAATTGCCCAGGCGCAAGGACTGATAAGTATGGACAGTGACAGAAGTACAGTATGAGCTTAACCTGAACCTATGAATTCAAGGATGGCTTGTTCATCAAGTCGCGAATGAAAGCCTAAATTACAACGAAAGGGCTGGCAACAAATTGCGGGCAAAGACTTGACACCGAAAGAAAACACA